TAACTCCCCATCCTTGTTTTGAATAGGCTTCAAGATTGATATCAGGAGTATCCCTGGATAGCTCATGAAGTACCATAACCTTGTAAGCTGTATGGAGGGTGAGGCAGATGTAATTTGGCCCATCTCAAAGAAAACAATTTGTTATTCAGAACAACAACAAGAAAAGAGATTAAAGAACCATTTTGCAGCAACCATGTGCAAAAAAAAAGCTATTTGAAGAATAGTCCTGGAAGGGTCGTCTGTTTCTGGACTGCGGACTCTATGATGTTAGGCATTGAGAGTGTATCCTGATATAAAACATTGCTGCTTATTTATGCCTTCTGTGTTTACTGTCATGAGGCTTATACAGTTCATTTTAAATACTTCATGCAGAAATTCAAAAAGCCTGTTGCCTTTTATGTTCTCTTAATTTTCTGTTTTCAGACAGAAATCAGTGTTTCTAAATGGTATGGGTGGGTTTGCCTGTTAAAGCACTGGAAGTCTCACGAGTCTGTACTGGTTTTGGCTGGGACAGAGTTAATTTTCTTCACAGTAGCTAGTATGGGGCTACGTTACAGATTTGTGCTAAAACAGTGTTGATAATACAGGGGTGGTTTAGTTACTGATGAGCAGTGCTTACACAGACTCAAGGCCTTTTCTGCTCCTCACATCACCCCACCAGTGAGTAGGTGGGGGGGTGCACAAGCAGTTGGGAGGGGACACAGCTGACCCCAAACTGACCAAAGGGATATCCCATACCATATGATGTCATGCTCAGTATATAAAGCTGGGGAAAGAAGGAAGAGGGGAATGTTTGGAGTGATGATGTCTGTCTTCCCAAGTAACTGTCATGTGCAATGGAGCCCTGTTGAACACATGCCTGCCAATGAGAAGTGAAAAATTAATTCCTTGTCTTGCTTTGCTTGCATGCACGGCTTTTGCTTTACCTATTAAACTGTCTTTATCTCAATCCACCAGTTTTCTCACTTTTACTCTTCTGATTCTCTCTCCCATCCCGCTGAGGGGGAGTGAGTGAGTGGCTGTGTGATGCTTAGTTGCCATCTGTGGTTAAACCACGACAGTCCTTTTTGGTGCCCAATGTGGTAAGACCGCACAGGAAACTGTAAATTAAAAAGTTCCATGAGCAGTGGAAAAATTGACAGAGGAGACATACATCTTCAGGTACTTAGGCATTTTAAGTACCTGGGTTGCCCATCTTCACTATTATACCTTTCTTAGGATATTGAGAGAATATCTGAAGAACAGTAAGTGTTTTAAGTTACAAGAGATTGATTAAGTTTTGGGGAGATGGTATGAGCAAACAGAATTTTTCTGTGTTTTCTGGAATTGCAGTTTTCTCTCTCCAGCTGTTGAGGCACTGGATGTCAGTGTTTTGGCAAAACCTTCAAACCCATGCTGCTGCTTACTTTGATTTTTTTTTTTTAAATTCCAGATTGTATGCAAAATCTTTCTGAGAAACATTTTAGGACAGCATGGCATGTTCAGGATGTGTCTCCAGCAAAGACAAGTGAATTTTGAAATACTGACATGAAGAGCAGCAGCTTTATTTGACTGTGCAATGCCCTGTGTGAGGAACAGCCCTGAAAAGAGCATAGTATAGAGTAGCATAAGTAAAAGGCAATCCCAGACAGAAATTCCTGGAGAGAATCCTAAGCTATAAATGGCTCATTTGTTCTTTGGGTTAAATCCTGGCCCCACGGAAGTCTGTGGCTAAACTCTTGTTAACATTGACAGGGCTGATACACCACCCTGTTTGCTTCAGTTTTAAGAAGGCGAATCCTTTTGACGTGTATCTTCTATAGGCAAAGAGGCACAACAGTTGTCCAAGGACAGCTCCCTAAATTCTACCAAAACCCCCAACGAAGGAAAAGGAAAACAACTACATTCCAGTCAGGAGGCACAAACTGTCCAAGATATAATCAAAAAGACTCAGCAGAAGCAGAAGCCTCCCTAAATCCTCCTTGTATTGAACAGGGCATGTGTGTAAGCTAACAGACTTCTCAGAACAGGTCAAATCACCTTGAGGATTCTTATTGCTAAAGTAGAACATGTCAGGATGTAATTCTTCATGATTTCCAAAACCAGCGAGAGATTGTGTGATCCAAGAGAGGTGACACAAGTCATTGCTTGTGCAGTAGGTAGACATTCTGTCTACATGATGCATTGTGACATTCATCTCACTTGGGAAATGAAAGGAGAATCCTGCTGAGTAAATTAGAATCAGTGGTAATACAGCTGTTAGCTACAAACATTTGTTTGGCGTGAATCAATCTCGACTCTCCTGTAGTTTGCTTTGATGGTCTCTCTAGTATCTTGTTGACTAATGATGAGATCATGGTTTGTTAATCTAAGTGCATAAAGAAAACATTCTGCCAAGCAAAATGCAGACTCTTTTACTGGGGTTTATTGCAGTTGTTTATAGATCTTTTGTTTACACAGGCATCCAAACCAATTTGTTGGATATTTATTTGGGTTACGCTACAGAACTGCACGAACACAGACCTGAATCCTATCTTTAATCTGTCTGCATTTTAATGGGTCATAGATTGAACAAAGTGGAAACCAGCCACTCAGGATGGATTTCTTGTTGGCCAGGGCTTCAAATGTTTTATGTGCTATCTGTAATTCTCATCTTGAGAGTGTTTAACAACTGGAGAGAGTTGTAAGCCACTCTGATTTGGAGGTAACACATTTGGTTTTGAACAGAAGTTATTAGAATGCATTAAACTTTTGCAACAAGCAAAATACATTTTTTAATCCAGCCAGTGCTTTAAATGCACATATTTTTAAATGTGTAACTTCTTGCTCCCCATAATCATCTCTAATCTTAAGCCCAGGACATACTGCACCCAACTATTCCAACTTAGGGGTACACAGTTCCTGTTCAAATGGAGCACACATATACAGACGTGGCCAGACAGCTCACAGCAGTCAAAATGGCTGTATTTGCAAAGCCTGTAAATTCACAGATTTGGGTGGAAATAAAGGCAAATGAAGAGTAAAGCAGCTTCTGATGGCTGCTTTTCTCTGCTATTTGAAGGCCTCTCACCTTTGCTACTTTGCAAAAGTTCTTTCAGAAAATAAGAAGGTAATATGAAGAACCTCTCTGCATTTCTGATGCATGTAAAAATTTGTTTTGCTTTTGTACTGACAGGTTCTATCATTAACTTGCTCAAGTTGAAAGTACTAGTGGCCTTAACCAGCACCCGGATGAAATGGGGGAATGGAAGTTAATATGGTGACATTTATATATCTGATGGCTATCGGAAATCCGCATCATTGGAGTGTACAGTTGACATGCCTCAGACAAGACCAGAGACAAAATATTTCTAGTATTATTTCATTAGAAATTGAAAGCGTGTTTTGGAGAAGTCAAAGACTCTATAGTACAGCTCGTATCACAGCATTGTGTTTAAAATGGTACAATGTTGACTTGCTGTTACAAAAATTCAGTGTTCCAGGAAATCAGAAACAATATGGAATAGTTTACGCTAACTCTACATTAAAACATTCCATCTGTTCTTGCTTTAGGTTCTTAGAGAATGGCTTTTTCATCTCTGTAATGCTTTTCACATCCTATTAGTAAGGCTTTTAAAGGTAGGCACTGAGTTAGTAGAAAACCCACAGCTTTTGAGTTTAAACGCCTATTAAAACTAAAGCTGTCTGGAACTACAATAAAAATTTATTTTGGCTACAAAAGACAACTTTGAAACCTAACCCATCTGTATTTTCCCTCCTCCAAACAGTGCAACATCCTGTATAATAGAATATTTATCTTAAACAGGGACCACATATCTTTATGAAAACAATTGTTTCAACTTAATTTATGGGGGGTAATCAGCTCATATTAAAGTTTTCAGTATTCCAGGATGCTAATATAAATCGGTTATAGGAGATGTAATGACTAGAGTAATTCCACAGAATAATCTGAAATCTGATGTTGCCATTGACTTAGAATGTAACCTGTGTATATTTTATCTAAAATTGCCATTAAAAATTCATCTACAGGCATATAGTAATTCCAGAACAACTGTGTGTGTGCAAATTAGGTATACAACTGCAGCTACATTTTACTGATAATTTAGGCTCATGTATGGTGACTTCCAAACTCGATTACAGGATAATCCCACCAAAATAATTTATTTGAAATAACTGAGCTGGTCTCTGCTATCCCTGAGCCCACCAGGGAGATACTCACTAGTAGAGCTGCGTGGTCAGTGAATTTATTGACTCAAATCAAAACCAAATTGACTCACCGTGAAGAGCAGTATCCCTGGGATGCATAAAGCCTCCCACTGCCACGAGTGGGAGTCAAACATATCAAAGAGCAACTGGATCCCTGGGGTTTAGCTCCTTCCATACAATAGTTTGTCAGATTTTGAATTGAAAAGGGACAGGTTTAGCAGTCTCTAAATATAACCAGCCCTGAAACTCCCACTGAGATTCCTTTCTGTCTGCCTTCAGACAATGAGATAAGGCGCCTTCTCTTGTGACTTCAGTCTGGAGTACCTCTATCATCCCCACCCCAACCCTGATAACAGCCAGCTTTGCACATATTTGAAAGCAAGACGCCATCTGAGTTTTGAGGGATTTGTTACTCTTTCCGTAGATTACAGCCTTCGTCTTCAGACCAAACCTCCATCTGCATCATAGACTCATAGCAAAACATTCTGGCATCCAAGAGACACCTGACTCCCTTCATCTTTTGGCCACCTTCTTTCCATCATTTTGGAAACAAACCCTTGGACAATCTCCTTTTCTCCCTGCACTCTCTCCTTTTTAGACCTCCTCCTCATCCTCACTACGCTTGAATGCAGCATCCAAGTTGAAGTACATCTGCCCCAATTTGCCCCCTTCCTCTCCTCTTTTCCTCAAGTACACCAAGATACACAACTTATGGATGCTAAATCAGCATTTTTGTGTGCTGTAATATACATGGGATGTTCTGCTTACTTGCATGTGATTCACATCCTCATAAGCCCACAGGAAATCCCAGCAATATTTTTCCAGGCATATCTCCTGTCCTGAGGTGCCGAGCACAGCAGGGGCTGGAGGAAAGGAGCCATTTCTGACTTGGAATTACTGCAGTACGTAAGATTAGCTGGGAAGGAAAGCCCACTGTTACTTAGATGTAGCTCTTCTGCTCAGTGACAGTGAGAAATGTAGCACAAGGACTTAGTACTATCTCCCCAAGTATTTACTCACATTTTACAGTAACATATTCATGAAACCTCGTACCTCAGTGGATCCAGTAAAAGCAATTTTATCAATGCCAACATGAGATGCCATGGCTGCACCAACAATTGGACCAAATCCTGGCAAAATATTGACAACTCCTGGTGGAAAGCCAGCCTGTCAAAATAGGAAAGAATGAAGGGAAGCATGATTTATGAAAACTGACAGAGCACGTTAAACCAGACATGTGCTGGTAGTCCCTTCCCCGCAAGGAGAGACAAAGACATTATTCCTGTCAATTATTCTTACCTCCTTGATGAGGGCTCCCATATAGAGAGCGCTGAGTGGTGTTTGTTCTGCTGGTTTAATAACTACTGTATTGCCACAGCACAGAGCTGGAGCAATCTTCCATGCAAACATCAGCAGGGGGAAGTTCCACTGCAGGAAAAAATAAAAGTTGATAGATGGAAAAATATTGCAGTGGTGTTTTGTTTTCAAGATGTCAAGCTGCTACCTCACTTATTTCTCAGGCTGATCCTCAACATAAATCTTTCCCAGCACAAAGCAAGGATTTTTTTTTTTTTAATTACTGCCATTAAGAAAGCGACAACAGTGACCTTTTAGTTCTTTCTCTCCTGTTCAAAGAAATATAGCCCCCACCCGCAGTCTTCATAAAAGAATCTTCTGTTATCTGTTAATTTTTTTAGTCGCCACTTTTATTTCATTTGCTGTTTTGCAATTGGCACTTTTAATCCCCTATGACAAATAGTTCTTGCTTCTGATACATTTAGAAAGAACTGTTTGTTCATGCTGAAGCTTTTTTGGATGTGAATTTCCTATCCCTGAATACATCTTAAGATATGAAATTTATACTCAAAATTATATAATACTTAATTGACAGGATTACAGTAAAAAAATCCCATAAATGTCAATGCTCGGTCAAAGCATTTAATTTTCTTGAAAACTTCGTACTGCACATTTATACAGAAAACACTAAAAGAACAGTAACAAACAAGTTGAGAAGCACTCATTGCTGATATAAAATTTTGTATCGTCATTAATTTAAACTTCATTTAACTGCAGCAGCAGATGTGGTGAATTATTTTGATGCACAAATAAGTTGTGGCTAAAGTTAACAGTAACAAGCCTTTCTGCACCAAAGCCTGATCCTAACAGGTTAAGTGGATAGTCCTGCTGATTTCAGTGGAAATGCCAGAGTAATAAAATAACTGCATTTGCACAGTCACTCTTACAAATGCATATAACCATCTCCTTTGGAAAGAAAATAGAAAGTATCAGTCACAAAGAGTCAGCCACTGGCCAGAACATATTACTGCCTGATGCATATCAGCTGCCACTCTCACAGACATCTCTCTAGCCCCTGGCTAGCTTGAAAAAATACACAACTGTCTTTCCTTCACCGAACACCCAATTTTTTACTCCCTCAGTTGTTTATAAACTCTGGAGACAAAGTGATGTTTTAATTCCATCTCCAGTGTATAAACCTGGGAGGGGAGCTATAGAGCCAACAGTGTGCCGACAGCCTGCACTTCTAATGGTATTGCAAGGAGAGCTCTGATGAGTTTTATAGGGTAGTATATAGCCCTGTTTATGCTACAAAGCTGCCAAAGAGTGTATGTTTTGGTGGAAGCTAGGATGTGAAAGAGGATGAGGAGTTTAGCGTTAGGCTTGCTGTTTAATTTTATTTTTGTAATAACATATTTGCCAGTGTAATAGCTAAATGCATGCAGCGGCCCAGGGGCTGCACTCTGTGACTGGTAGCTGTGGAGGAAATATGGAACAGATCAGCAGCAGTGTTAGAATAGATAGTGTGACAGCCATGTTGAAGTTTTGGAGGACAAACTTGAGGGAAGAACGAACAAGTAGGGTAGATGGCTGGGTACCGGAACAAAGAGTCTTACAAAACTAAATTAAATAAATCCTGCTTTTGGTGGCATCTTCAGCCCCTGGCCAAGTGCCTTCAACAGATCTGTCAGTTAAGTTCAATGAGACAAGCCTAAGAGATGTTCAACGACTTTGGGGTTAGATGTTGGGGTTGTCATTTTGCAAATGCTTATCCTTGTGCCTGGCTGAAGAGTGGGGACAGAGCTGTGGAATCATTCATTCATAAGGACCACTCGTGAGTCAAGTTAGGAGAGTGTGTAGGTGTTTGCAGGACAGATGTAGCCACAGACTCTCTGAGTTGTTTGCATGTTTCTCTGAGTTTCTATGGAGTGCCAAACACAATAGCCACCCCTTACAAAGACATGAAATAACAACAAATATAAATAGGGAAAAAGGGCTTAACATTGTTAATCTTTTCTAGCTGCTCCTTTTAATGGAATTGGTGCATGTTGGTGTTTAGTGGCTTTGTGGTTAACATGAACAAAATAAAAAAACATCAACAAAAACTTCAGAGAATGTCCTGATTAGTTCCCCAGCACTTTGTCAAGTAAAAAAGCTTCCACACAATATTTTAATAGCTATATGTGAGCCTCCCATTGAAATTTCTGCCAAAGCTAATTAACTGGTTCTTCTGAAAAAGTTAGCTTCTCAGTGTAATTCCCATGCATTGTTCAGCAACAGTATATTAAGGATGTATATTGGGGTGTAGGGGGAGTATTAGATTTGATGAAATGCTGTGTTTCTCTCTTATAACAAATAAAACAAACATTTCATGTCTTTTATTAGCTGCACAATGTTAACTGTAATGATATGTCTCCGGGAGTTTCCTTTTCTCCTCCAGCCTTGTAAAAGAAATAGCAGGAAAGAATGGAATTAAAATGCATCACATTCTCCCAGGAACTGAGGAGCCTGTTAAATCACAGTAAAAACTAAATAAATAAAAAGACTACCACAGCAAAGCATCAATTTTCCATAAGTTGTGTGAACATCCATAACCACTGACAGCATATTAACACTGTGTTTTGCTTTGCTTGTTTTAATCATGAGAATTCTATGACTTGAGAACTTAACTCCTAATAACAGAGCCTAAACCCTATTAGCATGTTCAAATAAGCATTTGCAGGGAGGCTGTTAAAGATATGTCAACAATATGAGCTCAGCTTTTTTCGTAATGGAAAACACACATAGCCGAGGACCATGTTTTATGTGTCTTTAAAGAGAGCTGGTTCAAATGAAAATAAATAGAAAGCGCTAGTAGAGATACTCACAGGGATGATCTGTCCACACACTCCAATGGGTTCGTGTCTTGTAAACGTAAAATAATCTCCATCTGAAACAGATGAGCATGGTTACTCTCAAGTGTAGTTTGACTTGGCAGAACAAAAAAAAAAAAAGTAGAAGAGAGAAAAAGCTCTAAGGATCAGCCTTTGATGGCAGTAAAAGAAATAAAGAAGTCGTGGAAATGTTTTTTCATGAGCCAGCATGGGAAACCTAGGTTCGGGAGCAACCTAGGTTGCTTTGTTCTGTAGAACAAAGGAAGCAGGCATCCCATGAGAAAGTAACCTGCTTTGTGCCTTGGGAAAGAGGACAAGCTATACTGCACAAAAAAGGGCAATAGCAAGGAAGCCACTTACTGGCCTCTGCTGATTTGAAGGTGAGAGAAGTGAAGGAAGAGTCACAATGGCAATTTCCTGAAAGGCATGACTGGAACGCAGCAATATACAATATAGAGGTACATATACAAGCAGATGTGGGATAATAGAGTAACATACATCTCTCTCATCTTCAATTGAAGATACAGGCAGTTTGAAGTAAGGGAATGATACACCACAGTCTGTAAATGTGGAATGAAGAGGGGGAGCATGTGACTGATGTGTAGTTGAGCATAATTAACTGCAGAAGACAACACTAAAGAGCATACAGTGGTCATCATATAGCCATACTCTGATAGCTGACTTGTAGAACAAGGCCTGTATCAGAAAGGGCCTCAAACTAAATAGGCAGTCAATTTAAGTTGACAGGGAAAAGTTGGATGCAGCTAGAAAACAAGACAACAGAGAATAAGAAAAGTTTTCACAAACCTTTTGGGCAAGGTAGAGGCAAATAACTAAATGAAGGGACCAAGTCACTGGAAATTTGGAAATGGTGGGCTTTTCTCACTGGACTTTTGACAGAAATAACAACATGGACTAAGAAAGATTCTAACAACAAAGATGCAGGCAAAGCAGACTGCATGTTCACAAACAGCAGGTGTGGATGGTATGAAGCTAAAGGGAATTACTTAATTAACTCTGATCTGGTGATTATTTTTAAGGTCCTGATGAACAAAAATGGCAAAAAAAATCTCCAGGGGTGGGGGTGAGAGGTATCATTAGTTAGAGTGAGTGCTATGCTACATCTGCAGTCCTTAACTAAAGCACTGTTGAGCTCAGGGCAGCCTGAGTCAGGTCATGAAATAAACAGGTCTGTGATTTGGGGTCAGGCCTGTGGTCTGTGGGAACCTTTCACGTGGCCCGGCCTGCTCAGAGCAGCAGGCTGCTGTGCTGGCTCATTCTGCACAGCTGGTATAAGTGACTGTCATGGGGGCTGAAGGAGTTCATGCTTTCACATGAAGCAGTTGTTGCTGCTTCAGCACTTGTACTCCACTGGGAGTACATGCGGAGGCTATACGTGCTGTGGTACAATGTAGGTTTCTTCCCAATTGATAAAGAGCAGGAAAATGGCCTGGTTAAGGTATTGTCTAACCATCAGCTTTGTTAGCATGCTTGGCCTGCATCTGTGCAAAGTAGATTTACAGCACTTTTGTACCTAAATTGAGTCTCGTAGCTGTATAAACCAGCCCAGGCTCAAACCACCTCTGAATTTAGGTCTAATGTTTTTCAGGGAGGTTACAGCTGAGGGAAGAGCTATGCTAAAGGCGGGAGTAAGGGAGTAAGAGGAGGAGAGATTACAGTGGTTTTGCTCCCATCGTCACTGTCCAACACAGGGGTATGTGTTTTCCTTCACAGGTGTGAGAGCATGCGGGCAGCTGTGGCCTCTACCCCATTCAGTCTGGAGCTGCAGCCAGCCTTGTTCAATATCGGGGAGAGACCTAACTGTGCAACGGAGAGTACATTTTGGGAACCTGCTGCAATGTCCTGTACTGTACATCTGGTAAACAATAAATGGGTTAATTCATAAAGCTTCTTGGCTTTAAGTAAAGACTTCAACTTGAATTTGATTAGAAATAACTTATTTTCAGGTCTGCTTATTTCTGTACATCTACTTTACAGGTTTTGCTCAGTAGAAACCTGAGCTAGAGTAATTAATACATCAGCTGGGGGCCAGACACAGAATAATTAGGAGAAAGGTAATGATAGTCTGCAACCCAGACGAGGGACAGAACAGAGGAAATAAAGGAAGGAGGGAGAGAAAAGAGATTCGTATCAGGAGAAGGAGGAAGAAAATAGTTAGATCAGTCAGTTTGCTCTGCATTGACAAAATGTCATTGCATTGTTTTGATCTCTAGATGCAGCATCTAAACAACTTCCCAGTGGAGATGAGAATGTTTGTTTCACAAATTGAGATGAATAGTTTGATTTTCTAGATTATCTTTCACAGATGCTAGCAGTAGTTCACAGACCAGAGGAAGAATCATCAGACCAGACAGAAGAAGTAAAGTAGAAGTCAAAATACAGAAAAGTATATACAGGCAAAACTAAGTGCTCAAGAGGCACATAGAGGAATCAGCTAAAAATACCAGCTTGTACTTGGTAGCGCTGTGAGAGGTGGATTCTCAACCAGAAGGATGGTGACAATATAACAGTAACACAGTTATGTTAGCACTGTCTGACTTTAGATTGTCACTGCATAATCATTGCCACATGTCTGTGTGCTTCATAACATAAAGTTATAGATAACCTGAAGTTGCTTGCAAGTCAGACAAATGGTGGTTAATTCCTCCGAATGTAGGCAGAACGTTCTTGCACAGAGCAATACCTCCCATGCAGAGTTGCTTGCCCTGCTTTCTTCCACTAGACTCTAGACAGCTGCCCTTTTCGACACCTACTTCCAAAGTTCATCATCCACAGACTTACTGTTAAGATGGGATTTTTTGAGGTTGCTTTCTAACAGTATCTTGTGAACATATGTGACTTGAAGTTATTCAGAAGCTTCAGATGCTTCTGGACAGGGCAAAGATGTATCTAAGAGCCATCTTGTCCATAATGTAAAATAAGCTGTTGCCATGGCAAAATAACTCAAGATTGATGAAGTGAATCACTTTTTCTGAACAGTAAGCATAGAAAGCTCCCCTGTGCTCAGAAATTAAAGAGGAGACTTTTACAACATTTTAGAGTTTTAAGACTGGTTTATACAAGTCATGCTAATGACACTTATTCTGTTGCTATTATGCTATTGCTGGTGATTGTTACTCTTATCCTTTTGGTAGCTGGTAGCCAGAAGAACATTGCCTGAGAAGGATCTAACAGTCTGCTCCCACATCCAATCTAAAAATTTGTCTTAAAAGTTGTTTTTTTTAATATTCTCAGCTGATGTAAACTGGCCTTCTTCAGTCCTCACTGATATTAATAGAGCCAGATCAATTTGCAGCTGCTTAGCACGTGGCCCAAAAATTTTTATTTTTTAATCAGAAAGCAAGCCCCATTCATCCAGGGTTCTCACTTTGGGACAGCAATACCTTCCACAGATGTGTTTGCTCAAATTTCCATCAGGAGTCTCCGTCCTGGATATTTTATTTGCATAACAATCATAATACAGTCACATGCCTCATACAGCAGGACACAGCAAACAAGTGAGTGAGGAGAGCCAAGTTGGTTCTTTAAGCTGTATCATATGTATTGATTTAAAGATATGTTTTTGCTTGCATTCAGTTTATTAGTTTAACAGTTTCTAGTCTAGCCTCATTCTGTTTTAATTTAAATCATCAAGGCTTTATGCATGGGAGCAAGCAGAGGGCAGTCTGAAGGTTTTAGCAGCTCTGGGACCACAAGGAATGTGACTGTAAAACACACTGTTCTTCTTCTGCTTGTCTACCACTTGCCTATTTTTATTTTAGAGGAGATGAAAACCTCAACAGAAACAGATGAAAGATTGGGAGGTTTCAGATTTATTAGCACACTGAACAGAAAGAGAAGGAGATTTAATAGGGTTTTTATTTTGGTTTTGTCATCTTGTTTGGTTTCCTTTGATGCGCTGATGGTAAGTGAATGTAAAGAGCACCACTGCTTAACACTGGCCTTGCTCTAAAATAGCCTTATGAGAATGACAAATTTATGGTGCGAAACTAGAGGAATACAGAGGAGTGTTAAACCAAGAGGAAGAACTAATTGATACCCTGAAAATCTATGAGTGGACTTAGGATTCTACACCACTGATAACTGTGTTAGCACTAAAGATTGCATTTAGGAAGGCCTGCTGAAAATGTGCTTTTCTCTCCCCCAGTGTAGTCCACCTCACTGAAATAAATTGGGGTTCTCATCTGATACAGTACTTGAGGACAAGAATAAGCAGAAAAATATTTACTCTCTTTAACCTGGCAATGCATTTTGGTGACTGACCTAAATTCTGTGTACCTCCAGGGCTAATGAGTGAGAAGGAGGCATTCGCTGACCAGGGAGAAAGGGATTAGGGAACAGGAAATTTGCTGAATATATGAATTTATGGTGTGCTCTGCACTTTTGCATGTTTAAATGTGAAGTGCAAGCAGCAAAAACCAGGCTTTATGAGTCTCAGCCTAAATGACTGTGGAAATTTTCAAGAGTCCTTACAGGACAGTCTACACCTGAAATATTAATATTGTCATTTCTTTGGTGAAAATACGCTGGTGATGATAAACATCAGTCAGTTCACACTGCAATTTTAATAAGCTGAAACACCATGATGAGTAACGCTGCAATAAACGTTACATGATCTGTTTTCCTCCTGAAAATGTTGAGGCCACATTTTCAATTTACCTGCTTACTTAACTTTGATAGTTTTGTGCTTTGCTGAGGCAAGCTAGTGTACTGCGGATATCCTGTTACGTAATGTCACTTTATGGAAATGGATGCGCAACAGCTAAATTAATTTACTTGTGAGTATGCCTTCCTGGTCTCCTTCAGTTAAGTGTAATAAACATGCATGTGCAATGAACAGTGTGCACCATGAAGCCAAAAAAGAATCCATAGAATAAATGTTGGTTTTCCTTACTGTTTTTCCAAAGATTTACTTTATGCTGGTAAAAGATGAGTAAATTTATCTGGATGACTGCACCTGCATAAAATCATTCTTTGCTATCATGTGCCATTTTGCATAATTATAGCAGTTGGTACATCGAGTCCAGACTGCAAATGAATATGTTCACAACAGAAAATGCAGCCTGTATTTGTTAAACAGCTGGGAGGGAGGGGCAGGAGGAAGAAACTTGTTAAATAAAAATAACGGTAATGATTTTTTCTTATCTCTTTAGCAAAAACTAAGAGCAGAATAACTAATTTCGTAGCACTCATAAAGATGTATCTCAAACATACAATATAAAACTCATCCCACTGAATAATTTCAAGAAGCATATGTAACAAAATATATCTGATACGTATGTACAGTTCTCTATAGTAACATTACAAGCTCTTTCAAAGTATAAATGAGTTTGGATCCAGTGTTAGTCCCAAGTAAAATGATTTGCATAGGCAGTAAAACAACATATATAAACAAGATATATACGTAAGCATACCCTTTCTTAAACAGGCAGCTAACACTATTTTCATGTGTTCCAAGGTATTTGTCAGACTTATACCACATCCATTTTTATAAGCACAACAATATTTAAATGTGGGTCTTGAGCAATCTTCTTCTCAGACGGACACATGCAAAAGAAACAAAACACTCTTTGGGACGTGCATGGAGGGCAGACCAATAGCAGGTTGCCTAGTCCAGCCCTTGCTGACTTTTAAACATCTGCTTCAGCAACATACTACACACTGTAAGACCAAACCAAGGTTCTCCTCTGCCTTTCACAAACCTGTAATCTATTAAGCCATTTGGCCTTGAGACAGTTTAGGTGCATACCTGTGGTTTAATCCTCCTTACCTACGGGAATGGTCATTCCATGGATTTTGTCTGCCCAACCTGCATAATACCTCAGGGTTTTTATGACTCCCTGAAGATCTACATAGAAAGCTTGCAGGAAAGGTTTGCCACTGTTCAATGATTCCATAGTCTAGAGGACAAGAAAAAGTTAAGAGATGTAAGCACAGTAGCATTTTGAGAGTATTGTACTTCAGTATTCACTGTCTTAACAACTCAATTGTGACAGATTTCAGTGAAGACCAACCAGTTACACCTTGGCATATTCTTACTCCACAAGGTTCAGAACAGCTATCTGATCCCCTTTGTTACTTCTTTTTGCAAATGTGAACAAAAAGCATTTTCCTTAAAAAAAAATCTGGTTCCTTCTGGAGTATTCAGAATTACTGTGATTTTAAGAACATGTGCGTGCCTGTGTGTTTATGTGTGTCTGTCTCTCTGTCTTGTGGGTTTGTGGGTGTATCCGCATGCATGTACATGTGCCTGTGTGTATTTTGGACTTAACAGCCACTGTGTTTGGTCCAGATATATAAATGCTAAATTGCTTTAATCAGGAGCCAAGATAAAAATGCCTGTCAAACTAGGTTCTGTTATGTTAATGATAACAGCTGAGAAGGGGCTTCTTGTAACCCCATATTAATGATCTGAATCCATAAAGAGAAGAATGGACATATCCCTCTTTATATAATTGATGTGAATATAAAAATTTCTCTGTGTGGCTGCCAAGACTCCTGCTGAGGTCTGAGATATCTGTACTGTACAGCCAGTTTATTTATTGCCATCAAATAAACAAACTCTCCTCTAGGGAAGCTCATAAATTAACAAGCTAATGTCCTTATTTTTAAGTTAATATTCCTATTTTTAAAAGTATCTTATAAGCTGTCCTCTTAGGGGTTCCTAAGATCATTTAGCAAAAAGAATCCAATAAAATATCCTAAGATGTTGAGTAGCTTAACTCATTCTCAATAGCTGTCTAATAGAAGTCGTTAAGAATGGGCAAAGTACGCCCATGTGTAACACACCAACCATCAAATGAGTTTCTATAGAGAAGAATGGAGGCCTAATTCTGCACTGACTTATATCCCCAAGAGCAATTAATGGCATTGCCTGCAGTGCAATCCAGTAAAGAAGTTGGCTCTAGAAATACAAATGAAATGACAGGCAGAGTAAACTTGATTTGCTGTGCACTTCCTTCTCCCTGTGGCGATTTTACAGTATACACTGGTGGTAAGATGATTTAAGTGTTGACAAAGCTGGAATTAAGATGTTCACCAGCTTAGTTCAAAGCACTTGACATGCGGAAAACATTAACAATGCCACTGTTTAGATGGCTTCATACGTGAGTGAAATAGTGCAGTACCCAGAATTCATGTTACCAGTTGAGTGTGAGTGTCAGTGAGCATTTCACCTGCCATTTCATTAATATCTGCATAGATCACTTCCCTCGGTCTTCTATTTTTTTATTTTAGAAAACTTACAAGTGCACATAACAGGCATAAGCGTGTGCGCACACCCATTTGTTTGTCTGATGTCCAATTTAAAGCTCATTTGAGTCAATTGGAAGACTCTTGTTGACTTTGATGAGCTTTGGATCAGGTCTTAAGTAGAGAGTCAGCCATCTTAGCCATCAAGCTGAGTGTAGTTTTCAAATGTAATTCATATTAACACATTTATGAACTAATCTGCTTTCAGAATGTAAAACCGACAGGTGATTTGACTGTTGATTTTCATGTGCCACTTACAGCAAGAATTGCCCTGTCTCTTTCGACCAAGTCTGCTAGCTTGTCCAAAAGATGGCCTCTTTCCGATGCATCCATTCTCCTCCAAACTGAACCTAGAGAAAAAGCAAGGCGAGCTGCCCTCACTGCTTTGTCCGTATCAACCTGTCAAGAAGGAAGAAAGAAACCAAAGGCACTGAGGGAAATAACATTACCAGGCTTATGAAATTTGCTGTCGTACAACCTTAGTCACATGGTGGGTTTTGGAACTGTGATAAATAAAAGAACTGTCCAAGAGTGCTATTCTGGACCTGTTTCTTTGATCTAGGTATACATTTCTACCAATTCACAGGATGCATTACCTTGTCAGCTTCCTGGATCTCACAGATCTGCTCTCCTGTTGCTGGATTATATACTGGGAATATTCTCCCACTTTCAGAATTTTGCCACTCATTATTGATGAAAATCTAGAAAAGGAAGAAAAGTCATCAGTCCTCCCGCATGAACAAACAGTAATGTATATAACAACAAACTCCTGGGAAACGCTGCAGATTCTAATACAAAAGAGTTGAAATTTATTTATGCCTGTGAAAATCAGTTTTCAAGAGTTCAGGCCAAGGGTCAGCCCCTGATGTGTTTCTGTATTCTGTGGCAGTGTTACTATAGAAGCAGCATTGAACTCTAAATAACTTGGTTGACATTCAAATTTGGTTCAAAAACTGTAACAAATAAACTAAAAAAAGAAATACCTGTACAGAGAAAAAGCCTTGAAACTGCTGGAGACAAGACAAGGATTTGGAGTAATCATTCAATTTGGTAAGTAAACATTTGGTCACTGATACAAGCCAGTCAAGGCTGAATAATCTCAAACATCACAGTTCTTCAATACACAGTCAGTTGACTATGGCTACAGTGATGGCTTGCAGCACAGAATTAACTTGCTTATCTACTTAGAACAATGGAAATAATTGTTAAATTCTCTCAGTGTTGATATCATTTTAATTGTTATGGACAAACCAAATTTGAATTTTAATGGTGCTGACAAGAGTTGTCTTGAGAGGTAATGACAAGTGAGTTTATTTAAAGTAAGTTTTTACTGGTAGCTGCATACATGCCATACTGAATGACTTTCAAGAACAGGATGCAATTATTTATTAGCAAATATAATAAATAAGTCATTCTAGGAAAATGACTGAGTGAAAATTTTTCCAGGTATTCAGACTCTTCCTGTCCTTGAAATCTTTCTAAGAACAAAAGTGTTCAAAAAGTCCAGGCACCATATGGGTTCCTTGGAGTTCAGGTATCAATGTTCTTTCATTGTATTCCATGAAATACAACTTTAAATGTGTAAGGGGAGGTTCTGGCCTCATTGAAGTCAATGGGAATTTTTACCACTGACTTCATGGGAGGCAGGAGTTCACCCCTAGATAGAAGGAATGTTCACTACCCTCTTTTGCATGAGTGGTTAAGTTGTGTTTATAGATACAGGGACCTTTAGTTAAAGCAAAGCAAAGCCCCATAACCCACACATATCCTACAGCTGGGTGAGTAGAAAGCTGAGGGACCCTTTGAAAGTCTCGGTTCCAATCAGAGATATTCAGGTAATAGAAACTGGCCTATCTTTTTAGGTCATGGCTACAGAACAAGAATGAATGATACATTAAGCATTGGTCCAGTTTCCTCACAGAACCACCACAGACACTGGGACAAAAACCTGTCCCACTGACAAGGCAGACTAAACATCACAAACAGCTTGTCCAGAGCAGTAGCGTGCCACCTCTTTAATCCTGCACTTTCTGCTGTCTCACTACCACGCACCTTTGTACTGGTATATGGCGCACATCAGCCAGATGAGCTCAGGTAGACGATGGAAGGCAGTTCATATGTAAGGACTTTGCTTAAATGGCGTCAGGTTGTTGGTTCCTTTTTTTTGTTGTTGTTTTCTTTATAGCCAGGTTTGATGTGGCAAAACCAGGATGAAAAAATTACATGTTTGTCATGTGGAAATGAATGCAATGTAATACTGGTCCTTTCTAGGCAAAGAATAGTATGATACGATTATCGCTCAGCTGCTAATTTTTTAGGCTTGCAATAGGGATAGCCACACCAGCTTGCTGACTAAATAGTTTAAAACTTACTCTAACTAAATTATTTACACTTGTCTGATAACAAAAAAAGCATCAGGATCAAAATGCTGGATGTTTAAGGAAAGGGGATCACCAAAGTTTTAACATTCCTGGAAGGAAGGAAACAAGTAGAGAGCTAGTCATAAACTGATGAGATGAAACTGAGCTGGGGAAAAAAAAAAACCCAGCACTGTTCTAGCAAAAAAGCAGCCGAGAGAAAAATACAGTCAGAAGGCTCAAGATGAACAGTTGCAACACCAAAGGGTATAAAGCATCCATAAAAGAAAAGAACATGGTGAGGACACCGGTGTGCTTGTACATTTTAAAGAAAGTAAATAAATTTCACACTCATATTTGCACATGAAGGCAAAGATGCGACTGTAGAGCTTTCTGTTACCAGACATGAGCATGCTCAACCTATTCTCCAAGCCACATGGAAGCCATGTAGCTGTGTTCTTCTCAGCAGGGCTTATTAGCTCAGGCTCGGTGCCACACTAACTGCAGTGACGTAACTTCTGGTTCAGAGCTGACTCATGTCGAGCTGACTGAGGACATGGGCAGAAGGAACCTGTGCCTGCCTGGAAAAGACCCTGGCAATACAACTGTGCATAGAAACCAACAATTGCATGTACTTTTGCTTTTATGGGTGTGTTTCTGTTGTGTTTCCTCATTGTCCCTGTGCCTCTAACAGCCCTTCGCTGTGTGCCCTTCCATCCATTTCAGAGTCTGTCCTTTCTTTACTTTCCCCCCTTTTTGTTTCGGTTTTCTGAGGTAGCTGAACCCAGGACCTACCACACCATTGCCCATCTATCACTTTGGACACTGTATTTATTGTGAACCTGTTCATGTCCTTGGACTGTAAGCTCCTCAGACTGTGGGTGGCATCTTCCTGCTCAGTGATTACACTGCTTTGCAAACTGAAATACTGGCCCTGTTAGGACATTTTGGAGCTAACCCAGCCAAAATAAGATAATGAAAGAATCACCAGTGTGATCTCTAGAGACTGACACCATAAGCCAAAACCCTCTGGTGTATCATTGTCACTTTTTAGACTGTAAGTAAAACAAAGAAACTCTGAGATCTGTGACCTGTGTGGAAGATGGATTTTACTGACGTCCTTTCCATTGAGTTCGGTGGAGTTAACTCCATGCCCAGAGCGTGTGGGGGTGCGCTGAGGAGGGAGGGGAAGGCAGAAAAGCTTGCAGCCTCAGGAACAGATGGTAAAAAGAGATGTAAGGATGTTTGTTTAAGCTTACAGTGTGTACATAAACACATAGGTTCCTTGTGTTATCTGTCTTGGAAGAATAAAACAGGTTGAGTACAAGAACCTGAGAAGTGGAGACGACCTCAATTCAGTACTCTTCCCTTATAGAAGTGGTCTGTTCTTTTTTGAAAAAGATTAAAAAATGTTAACTACATTCTGCTGGGATGAAGACCTGTCATCAGGTTTGCTAGTACATAGGACACATATTTGTTCTTAAAATACATTTCACCAGAGAAATAAGAAATAGTGCCTTGGAATGACAAAAGAGTGTTGCAATTCAAGTTGACTGGAACTATAAGGTGTATTATTTTATTGAATGCTCCATTTTTCCCACAGATTTAGAAAAAGAACAGTAATAGCAAATATTTCAGATGGGTCATGGGAAGGATCTATTTGGCAAGAAGTTAGAGTTGAAGGCAAGAGAAATTGCTACTGTTAATGGTTAATGTTAGTTTCTTCCTGTTCCACTTTCTATAAACAAGGTATTGCCTATACAAGCTCATTACTGTAAACTGAGCACATTTAAATTGGCAGTAAAAATCAGAGTATTTACTCTAGTGCACAAATAAAGTACCTAGACCCATGTTTTGGAACAGTTTCAAGTCTTGAAATGCAGCAGCTGGCGGCTTTACAAGCAAAACCTTACACTTAAATAATTCACTTTTGAAAGTTTTAGGTGTTCTGTGTCAGGTAGTACCATTCAGCAGATATTCCTACCACCAAGACGCAGATTCTTTTGCAATAAATTTGCATTCACAGGGAGTTTTATAACTCTTCCAGCACTACTGACTCTAATGGCTGTTGATTAAACGTATATATCCCGTACATTTAATCTGACTTTCATTATGGCCACTTCGTAAAAATGCCATGAAATGGACAAGCGATGACACATTGCAAGAACAAGAAATCCCTGCAAAGCCTCAAATTGGGGTGTTTTTTTTTTTTTTTCCCTGCCTGATTTATAGTCACCATGGTAAAGGCTAACTCTAAATCAGGGAGAATATTTGACAGCAAATGTTCCTATCTATGGATTATATATAACCCATCCTAAACACCAGATGAAAAAGGGGTAACCCTAAAAAAAAAAAAAAGAGGAAGAAAAAAAAAGCTTTGCTTCCATGTAAATCATGCTACAAATTGGACAACACCCAGTGAGTTCATTGTTCAACCTCAATTGTGAAGGCTATTCACATTTACTATTCCCCTGGAATCAATGTTAATTAAGGCTGACTGGGGCTATAAATCAGCCTTTGGTTTTTACAACTTAATTCAGCATTAAGCATATATATGTAAATAAAAGGTAACTGATTAACCACTTGAGTTTTCCAGGAGTTACTGAGGTAATTTGTTTTTGTTTAAGTCCTAGTGTTACCTTTTGTGATCTGCAGTAAGGAAAAGGAAAAAAAAAAGTATATAGTATGTCCTGTATTTGCTATGCAGTATTGTGAGTAGTTAAATAATCTGGCCTGTTGGGTGCTATCAAAATGCTGCCAAAATGGAAAGGGAAGAAGAGAACACTTGCAAAAATTTGGAACACATGAACATAGTTTGCCATCTACTCTCAGTAGAGCCAATAACTGCAGTAATGTCAGAGCAGGAAGAGAAAAGGCAAACCTTCCTGGTTTACTTACGTGTCCCTGTCAGTATAGTGATTTGGCCAAGAACAAACCCAACTGGCAAAACAGACAAAGCCTCCTGTAAGTGAGGAATCTGGCTGTAGTTGGTGTACAGTGATCTAAGGAGGAAACTAAATACTATCTGTTCACCAGCAATGCTGCCTAGGCAACACGCAGAAGAGGACAGCAGCTGAGGTAGTGGGTGAGGTGTGCATGTGTGTGGGATGGTGAAGTTGGAAGCTCCCATTGCCCCTGTGAATGTGCCCTTGGAGTGCCATCGTTCTCATGAGATCTCATCATAAAGGTCTCTTGATGATTTCTGTTCCTTTCCAAATTAAAGATGGGGAGGGCATGGCATTTTCCTAAAACAACAGGCATATCCCTCCTGGTACTGACAATAACCTCTTTCTCACTCACACACATAGACGTTTTGATAGAACTCTGCAACATAACGGTCCCAC